GTGTGAGCCCTCACTCTGAGCTGGAGGAACAGGGATGTGTGAGCCCTTACTCTGAGGTGGTGGAGTGGTCGGCATGTCAACTTTTTCCCATTGCTGTGATGAAATATTCAACTTGAAGGAGAAAGGGTTTATTCTGCTCACGGTTCAAGGGTGCAGACCAGTATGGTGGTCTTGGTCGGAGGACAAGATCTTGAAGCAGCGGGTCGTGGTCCTTTCACGTTCCTCTCTCCACCCATACCGTCCAGGCTCCCCTCAGTGAGTAATGCTGCCCACGGTTGGCAGGCCATGACACTTCGGTTAACACTAACTAGGTAATCTCCCACAGGTGTGCCGAGGGTCCCATTTCTCAGGTGAGTCTAGAGTCTGTCAAGTTGACAGCACTAACTATCACTGTTGGGATCCAGCTTGTGAGTCAAAAGCCATGGTAATTTTTTCCATAACCACCTGCTAAGGTATTTTTGGAGACTGTATTTCTTTGAGACAGGGTTCCTCTGTGCAACCCTGGCTGTCCTGAAACTCACTCTGTAGACCAGGCTGGCCTTGAACTCACAAAGATCCACCAGCCTCTGCCTCACAAGTGCTGGAACTAAAACTAAAGGCATGTGCCACCACTGCCAGGCCTAGAATACTTTTTTTCTTCTTCTAATTTTGGTTTTTCAAGATAGGTTTCTCTGTGTGGCTTTGGAGCCTGGCCTGAAACTTGCTCTGTAGATCAGACTGGCCTCGAACTCACAGAGATCCGCCTGTCTCTGCCTCCTGAGTGCTGGGATTAAAGATGTGCGCTGCCACTGCCTGGCTTCTAATTTTTTTTTTAGTTTTTCAAGACAGGGTTTCTCTGTGTAGCCATGGCCTTCCTGGATCCCAGCATGCACCGCCACACCTGGTGATACGCTGTATCCCTGTAAATCCTTTCTGACAGTTTTTCTTTCTGGTGTTGGCCTTCGGTTGTTGTGAAAGCTGAGAAAGTGGGAAAGAGTTTATGGTCTTCAGAGGTTTCAGCCCAGGGTTTCTTGCTCTGCTGCTTTGAGCCTGTGATAGGAGGTGTCAGGTCAAGGTGGGTGGGAATGCAGAAGAGGGAAGGAAGGACCTGTATCCGTATAGCCCCTTTAGGGTCATGTGACCTCATGTCCACCTACAAGGCCCTACCTACAAAGGTGCCACCACCTCCCCGGAGCCCCACAGTGTGATGACCAAGCTTTCAACACATGGCCTTTAAAAAGAGGCATTTACGGCCCAAACCATAGCATTCTGGTAGTCACACCTGTTTGTTTTTCTGGTATCCAGTCAATTCCCACCAAATTTCCAAAGGTGAGACTTTTTAATCAGTAATATATTTTCATTCTTTCCATGAATACTTTTAGAAAGATTTGATAGAGTATCCTTTAGATGCTGTTCAAGCACTTAATCTTTTCTTGTCTTGCCTTTTTATCTCATCTTCTCGAACAAGCAATTAATGTTTTATGCATGCGCTTGCTAATTATGCCTAACAACACATTTCCACTTAGGTAAGTCGGTGAATGGTGCTTAATTATCTGAGTAACTTTATTTTGTGTTTTGGTGGGGCTTGAGGTTGTTTTTGCTATGAGAGTTTGCCCTCTCTGCTGCGGGGGTGGGCTGGGGTAGGGGGTGACTCCAGGGACAGTCCCCCTCCCTCTTGGATACCCAAATCTGAGACTGCCCAATTTCACCTTTATATAAATTGACACATCATTTGCATATGCTGGATTAGCACCCTCTTGTGTCTTAAGTCATGCTTGGATGACCTCTAGCACCTGACCTCTAGCACCTGAGTAGTTACTGTGCTGTTTTGTTCGGGGCTTCAGTGACCAGAAGCAGCGGTAAGGTGTGCTCAGCATAGCCACGGTTTTACTTTCCTTTTAATTATGTATATATGTCAGCTCCAGGAGAGCCCATCTTCTCGGTGAGCGTGGTCACTCGCGCATGCTCACACGTGTGCTCACACATGTATGCACAGACACAGTACAAAACAATATAAACCTTAATGGTTTTATTTACTGCCAGCTCCCAGTGTAGTAAATGGCTCCAAAACCTCACAAAATAAGTTGGCTTAAATAAAGAAATCCTTTTCATTTCGAGCAACCTGTGTTTTGTACTCTCAGACTTCCAGAAAAGTTACAGAGTTGGTATGGTGTCTCCGGCCCTTTCACCTCCTTGTCCCTGATGCAGAGAGCTCTTCCAGAACGGCGCCTCACTTTTCAGAACCCAGACTAAATTTTTCTTGTGATATTATTACTTAAGCTTGAGACTTTTCACAGATTTCGCCAGTTTTTCCGAGGCGGGTCCCTCTTATGTTACGGTGCATGCGCAGGACAGTGTTTGGATGTTACCCGTCAGTTCAGGCAGCTCAGCAGGTGCCGAATCCTCCTTCTGTCCGAGGAGTGGTAGTGCCTGGGGGTCCTGACCAGCAGAGAGGCACGGTCTTCTTCCAGTGTCTGCTGGAGGTTTTCTCTTTTTTCTCTGTATGTTTGCAATCAGCTCAGGGCCCTGTGAGTCAGAACATTGCTGTACTCCAAGTGATTTGAGCTGTTTTCTAACATGAATTATGCTTTTGTCCAATTCTGTTTCTCACAAACACACGCGGGATGACTCTCATCAGGCTTCCCGAGTTCACGGTCACCACTTCAGTGCCTGATGATTCCCGGCTGTTGATCACTTCCGCTCCCACAACATGGTATTGTCCCTTGATGAAGGCGACATTAGCCTCTCTGCTGCTTCACCCCTAATTCTTCTTTTTCCTGTTGTAACCAATGAAAGAAAGTACTGCTTAGCACAGCAGGTAATAATCGTCGAAAACACATTATCTCGAGAGGTGGTCCTGGCAGGATACAGAAATGCAACCGAAGAAGGGTCCCGGCAGCTGGTGACTGACAGCACTGGGAGTGGCAACCAGGGAAGCAAGGACTCCCTTCTGCTCTGCCAGACCGAGTATCCTCGCCCTCCTAGGTCCGGCCCCTTGCAGTCGTCATGGGCAATAGCACGTGACCTGGGGATCTGACCCACTTCAGGGGTTTTTATTCTCCCAGCAAATGACGCCCCTGTGAGGCGTTTTAACTGCCACACTGCTGGGTGTCCAGGCACCCAGCACCCTGATCTTTCCTTCCCAGCCTTCTGCGGGGCTGTAGTTTCCGCTGCTTATTATTGTCATTATTTCAGGGCTGCGCTCCAGGGGCTCCTGAACCCTAACAGCTGCCCCGGGCAGAGGAGTTCCAATTTCTCAGATTCAGTCTTAACCCGACTTGATTTTTCTAGGGTCCCGGGAGCCAGTCGAGCTCTCACTTCCGTGCTGCTGGCATTCTCTGACATCTCTGCTCCTGTCACTGGGAAGGTTTCGTTGCCTGGCGTTTTCCCAGAGCACATCTTTTAAAATGTTTTTCCCCAGCGGAGCTGGCACACTGACACCTTTCACCCAAGGCCTTGTGTCTCAAGGACGGCGTCAATGCGAGAGGTGA